GGTAAAGGTACCCCTGCCCATACGGGCCAGTCTTGACAGACTCTAGGGTTGTGCGCCCATCTCACTCTATAGGCCGGGGGCCAGCGCTGTCCACAGACACTTCCGGGTCACGTGGCCAGCGTGACAAGCTGCATCTGGTGAGCCAGCGCAGCACACGGAACGCCGTTTACCTTCCCGCTAGTAAGTGGTCCCTATTTATCTACTTGCACCCGAAGGTGCTTTCGAACTGCTAGGTTGGCAGGCGCTGGGACCGAGCAACGGGAGCGCACCCCGCCGCGGGGATTCGAACCACCGACCTTTCGATCGGCAAGTTCTAGGCACTGAGGCTTTAACCCACAGCGCCACCCGCGTCCCTATAGTTAAAAGTAGAAGTCTGTAAATGTGTCACCTTTTTTGCTTTACATAATATGGCAACCCTACGAGTCCAGATAGAAAATAGGGACATGCTCCATTCTCACGCACATAGGATGTATGGTAATCCCTTTTAGGAATCTACTTGTCATCTGCAGTTTTCATAAGTACGTGTCTTGGTGTTTAAAAGGTTAAAATGAAATTGCCTGCAACCACTGCTGCTTTTATGGGATTTATGGTGTGGGTGTATGGGTGTTTCAGTGTTCTACCAGTTCAGTTCTATGTAAGCCAGCCTCAGGGACAGTCCTGTTTAACATCTGTATAATAAAGCAACCGTTCTGTTTTCCTGGAGTGCATTGTGGTGTGTGGTTGACAGAAAGCTATACAACTGTGTGGACAGATGCGCAAAGGGCTCACTTAAGAATATTACAATTTCAAGTATTCATCTGAAGAACCACAAGTTTATGTGTCATTATACAAAAATTTATAACACTGTGTATAGTTTTTAAAGTATTTTATTTACTGCACTTCTATACTGCCCAGTAACCAAAGTTCTCAGGGCAGCTTACAATCAAGGTTCTGGTTCCTACCTATCAATGGCAGAGTAAATAAAGGCAGCTTGCAGCCAGATGCAAAGCATGTTTGCTCACATGTGAGACCACATTTTGTTCTTTAGTTCCGTTTCCAATCTGGCTCACTGGGGGGAAAATCTTCTCTAAACCAATTTTTACTTTCCACTTCTTTGCATATGCTCTTTGTGTGTTCAGTGAGCATGCCTCTGGGGGCAGTTTGACAGCAGGTTACACCCACAGCCTAGGTGTTTTCAAGGGACCTCTTTCCAGATGTTTAAATAAACCTGCATAGATTGGAAGCAAAGCCTGCCACTTTGCTACTACACCCCCACAAGTACATTCACGGAATGCACAAGGAATATTTGTAAGCAGATCAAATGGCATTTTTGCTACTTGATTTGAAAGGTGAGGAAGCAGAAGTCTGAAAAAAAAAATCCCTCAGCATTTGGTATGATGATTCAGAAAGACAGCTTATGAACTGGTTTTAGGCATGCCATGGTAAACTTTCATCTGATAGTTATTTGTAGTCATCCAGCAGTACCATTTCTGAGTCAACCCTTTCTATTTCCGCAGATGTTTCCTGGAACTTTCCAAATGGGCTACAACACCTGTGTTCAGAAGCCAATATTATCTGGGATCATCTTAAGTCACCCATCAGGAAGCCCTTATGGTACAGTGTTATAATGCCTATCATTTACCTTGACAAAAATAGAAAGTCAGAACTCTACAGGTTTGATCATCACAAGTCCTGTTGTTACTTCAAAATCGTACAAAGCCAAGCTTCAATTGTCAACAGGTCAAACTAGTTTTTATATTAACAGCATTAATTAACATGCATTAACAAATGGTGAATCCCATCTGATGGGACCAATTAGCAATGCAACCCAAGGAGGGGAAGAGGAAGAGTTAAACCCTTTCCTCCACACACCCAAATAAAATCCCCTCCCTGAAGCTGCTATTTGCATAGGAAGGGAGGTTTCACTTGGCACCACTGATGTATTTGGTGGAGATACTGTATTTTTCTCTCTGTAAGACGCACCAGACCACAAGACACACCTAGTTTTTGGAGGAGGAAAACAAGGGGGGGGGGGAATTCTGAATCTCAGAAGCCAGAACAGCAAGAGGGATCGCTGTGCAGTAAAAGCAGCAATCCCTCTTGCTGTTCTGGCTTCTGGGATAGCTGCGCAGCCTCCAGTCGCTCCATAAGACGCACACACATTCCCCCGTACTTTTTAGGAGGGAAAAAGTGAGTCTTATAGAGCAAAAATTACTGTTATTTATATTTCAGACATGACCTTTTGGATACTTATATATAAATTATTTTTAAAAATAGGGGAAGGCATACTTCTAAATTTTCACCATTTCTTGCTGTGACTTTTTGGACAATCTATTTTAAAAACAGCATCATTGTTTGGTAAACAATCTGTTGGTCACAGCTGGTTCTTTAACTGCAAAATACATAAGAAAATTAATGGATGAATAACGAAGTGCCTTGCAATCTTTGGTGATGATGGAAATTATTCATTAAATAATCTTGGAAATTAGACTATCCAATTTTATGGAAAGCTTGAGATCCTTTTTGATGTACCACAATAGAATTGAAACACACAAAGTGAGTATGCAAGAAATAAATACTGTGTATAATAGTTTTTCAATCATAACTCTTTTCGGCAGTGAGATATTAACTATATTTTCTTGTCTTGCACTTTTAACATTTTAAAAACAAATTTCATAATATAAATCTCAACCACCTCAAAATAAAACTGGTGCTACTGCAAACATTTGTCAAATTATTCAAAATTATGAATCAACAAGGATATTAACCTTTTTTTAATCTTAAAAATACACAGCCAACAGCAATATGTCTTAAGACATATCAGCCAACAGCTGATATGTCTTAACCATTAGCAAAGGTAGAAAAATTAGAGATCGACAACTCTCTGTGAAATTATTTCATGTGAACAGTAGAAGCACTACAAAGCGCCTAATTCCATATTCAAACTGGAAAACTCATTTTCTTGAATGACAAATGATATCTTTCTTTAACTCACATACTGAAGTAGTAATTTACAAATGTGGGTAATAATCTTTTTTTTTAATGGGAAAACTGAGATACACAGAAGTTAATTGCCTTGCCCAAGGTCATTCAACAAATCAATAAAAGAATAAGGCATGAAGCCAAAATGCTAAAGATCTTCTTTATAAATTATCATCTGAATACCATTATAGACAACCCTTCCTGACCCCTCCCTATCTGTGGGTTACATACCAAGCTAGAAAGAAGCCACCTAATTTCTTTCTGCTTACATTTCAGATCCAAGTTCGAACCATAAACCACCTCCAAAACAAGTTTTTCTTATCTACTTTAGAATGCTTTAAAGCGATTTCTTTGGATTTGTTTGATAGTGTGGGAGGAAGAAGGGGTAAAAGTTCAAGGCTGGCCTTTATTTCATCTAGATCTGTTTGCTCACTGTTAAATTTGAGACCTCAGGTACAGAGACATTCAAAACTTTTAAAATGCAGCTAATGAGTTGCTGTGCCCTAGTAACCACGGCAACAGGCTGAGAAACCTCACTGCTGTTATCTGTGGGCAAACCCTGCAGGAGAGTATTTGCATTCATTCTGGTTGTATCTCTACAATGCTGGTAACTGAAAGGAAACTTAATTAGGGTATACAATCAAGATTACTGAATACAGGTTACTTTCCTCCTTTATGCATATCAACTATCTTTTTATTTCTACAATGAGGTTGGCTGGAGATAGGGTTTTCCCCTTGCTTGCTAAAAGAAAAGGAATCACTCTTGAAAATAGGCTTTCTAGATTGATTATGTATTTACTTACATTAACTTTCTAAATTTAATTTATATTGGGTCATTAATTAAGGCACAGTTGCTCTCCCCTGTTATGATAAGTTATTTTAACTTCTTGTTTTGTTATCACCTTTGTTTTGGCAATAATACATTGACAAATGCTGTAAAATAGTAATTTTCAAAGACTTAAAAAAGATAACAGTTCAGTGGCTTTTACTCTCAGGTAAGTGTGTATAGGATTGCTGCTTTAAATCGTTTCTATCACAA